ATATGCCGCCACTCGGAGAGAGGAAATATCAAAACCCTCGATAATAACCAATGTGTAACATCCTTTCAATTTTGATACCACTGGTAGTGTCATCCTGCCAGAATGTTCTATAACATATGCCCTAAGTAAACAGAAGCAATTCTGGAACATGTGTAATACATGTTCAGGAGGCCGGCTGGTTGTGTGGCCGGTTGGCCAGCTGATTTGCTTTGGCTGTGTCTATCTCCTTCTGTCTGTCTGTATCTATCTCTGTCTCTATCTCTTTCTCTATCTCTGTCTCTATCTCTGGATCTCTGTCTCTGTAACTATCTCTCTATCTCTATCTATCCCTGTCTCTCTATTGCTATCTATATCTATGTCTATGTCTATCTCTATATCTCTCTCTAACTCTATCTCTCTATATCTGTACATCTCTATGTCTCTATATCTCTCTATCTCTATCTCTATCTTTCTCTATCTCTGTCTCTATCTCTGTATCTCACAGGTACACATAAATACAGTTATACATAGTACAAATTACCTAGGATAACCCAAAAAATCCAAAGTGCTATACTATGCTTGTAGATAAGGCATAATAAGCATGACTGGCAAGTAATACACATTTTCACTTGTTTAGGAATCAGACGTGACCAACTCTGCATCGTGTGTAATACCTGCTGGTTCATGAGCAGCTCTCTCTCTGAGAGAGAGAGAGAGAAAGTAGAGATAGGAAGACAGAAACACAGGCAGACAGAAAGACAGATAAGCAGAGAGAGATAAACAGACAGAACTAGACAGACAGACAAATAGACAGACAGAAACAGATAGACATGTTTGTAGGAATGAAAAATAAATCCAAGACAGTGCACGATCATCAAATGTCACTCCACGAGTGACACTCCACTAGCAATGGAGTGTCACTCATCTTACACCATGCTTCAAGGAGTTTCATATATACTCCAGCATTTCTAAAATATTGCTGGAACCTGGCAGAAAGGGCAAAAATCATTTCTTAATTATAAATACATTTTTCTTATTTAAAAACCCATAATAAAAAAAATGGGGTGGTTTTTTTGGGGGCTGGAATGGATTAACGGTATTTCAGTTAAGTTCAATGAGGAAAACTGATTTGACATACGTACAAGCAAACTGAGTTACGAGCTGGGTCACGGAACAAATTAAACTTGCAAGTCAAGGTACCACTGTATTAGGAAAATGGTTTTATTTGAAAAAGGAAAGTAAAGCAGAAAGAATTAGAATTCTGTACAGTGTAAGGTATTTCTACAGTTAAAAAAATAGAGAAGGAATGTCACAGGTAGAAAAGTGATGACCTGGTGGTTAAGGTGTTGCAACAGTGTAAACATATTGTAAATAAGATAAAATTTTGTTAGGATTTTTAACGTGGATGGTTAAACACCCAGTCTTATTTCCATCGAGGTATTTTAATCTTATTCCCCAGTATACAACCCACAACAGTTGGCTAAAACCCATGTACCTACTTGCTGCTACGTGGCCAGGGACAGCAGGTGTAAGGAAACATGCCCAACCAAAAGCCGCTGTGTGGACTATCGCTCATTCCAGTGTCAGACAACACACTTCCCTACTCTTCAAAAGCTTTTAACTTACTTACTATACAAAATAAGCACTCATACAACTATGCCTACTATAAAACATTACACTCCAACATAAACCCTCGTCTGAAACTATTCCTTGACAGCTGCAAGAGAACACAAAGTCATAATACTAGACAAAACTCACTTTGACAGCCACTGTGTCTGTCTCAACCTATTCAAAAGCTCAATGTACACGAAAAGCCCTGAAATATCAAAAGATCCAGTATTTGCCAATCAATTCTGAACTATTGTTAAAAAGCACCTTATCTCCCTAATTTAATTGTAACAGCAATATGACATGTCAAACAAAACCAGTTTATCCAACTCAGTCACAGTTCTTCTTCCAGTCTTCCTTCAAGCCTCATGGAAAATTAATTGCTCATCTTATCCCCCTAATATTTCTACAGTAACTTCCTGTATTTTCACCATCTCTTTCAATCACTCCACAAAGCTGATGATCACCGGATCAGTTTCAAACAACAAATCATACTTTTAAAATTGTTCCTATTGTACATTGGCAATTTTTCTTGTGTATTTAATAGTTAACTGCTAAAAAATCCAAACTAACTGAAAATCACTAAATCAGTTTGAATTATTAATGCAGAATGTTAGTATTGTACTGTTGTTCATTTAACTACCTTTCATTTTTGTATATTTTAGGACTCCTACTAAATAATTCAAGGACCCCAATGGATATAAGTCACTTTGACTGACCTTTTTTTGGGTCATATAAGATAAAAATTTGTTTGGATCTTTAAGCCCGAGTGAGGGGTCAGCCACCCAGGAAAACCCAAGAAAGTCACTGCGTCATCCAGGACTGTGTTTATTATTTCCATTGTGGTCTTTTACTCTTGTTCCCCAGGATGCCACCCACATTAGTGGGTACCTACTTACTACTAGGTGAAGGAGGACAGCAGGTGTGAGGAAACACATCCAATGTTTCTACCCGGCCAGGGACTGAACCCCGGACACTCAGTATGTGAGGTAAGAGCTTTGTCTACCAGGCCACGGGACACCCCAGAGGGTAAGTTACACTTATTATATATGATAATTGTACCTTAAATAAACTTACTTATATCCATTAATCTTGGTAGAATTACCAATAATATGTAAAGTAAAAGGACACAAATGTAACTAATGTGACATTTTATTGTGGCAACGTTTTGCTGGAGAGCGAAACGTTGCCAAAATAAAATGTCACATTAGTTGTATTTGTGTCCTTTTTACTTTACATACTTATATTTAGTTCTTAAGTAATCTTTAAGCATGAGTGGAACAAAACTCCCAAGCAACATCACTGAAGCTAAAATGTTGTATACTATTAAGCTAGGTTAGACAAATACACAAATGGGTGTGAGTTGAACCTGCCTAGCATGGGCCAGGACTCCAGCAGTTTTTTTTTTACATTCTTATTAGTATTAGTTTGGCTGAAATTTAATTTCTTCAAGGCTGGGAGGGGGTAGGGGGGTTGATGCTAGTGAGGGGGGGGGTCAGGGGGTGAGGACCTGGACCAATATTTTCTTTCTTTACACACAACTAGATTACTTGTGCTGCCCCTGGGGGTTTAGCACTTCCCACAAACACAATAATCACCCCTTAACTTCAAACAAAGAAACCAACCCATTAAATAAGCCTTATTTTCTCTCTTAATATGGGATGCTGCCTTGAGGTAAGGAGTGGAGAGGTATACTGTTTGATCCAAGGAAGAGGAGTAGCAACTCTGGTTTCTGTGATCAAGAGCAGCAGCAGGATGAAGGGAGGGTAGACCCTGCATGGGGTGCTGCCTTACCA